TTCCATCAGTATTTTTTGTGCACATGTTTATTCATAGGCATCAATAACTAATGACTATACTCACAACAACTCATCAATGATCTAAGATATGCAGATGACACCATATTACTAGAAGAAAATAGCAAAGAATTAGAGTGATTATTGAAGAAAGTCAAAGCAGAAAGTGTAGATGCAGGTTTACTTTTGAACATTAAAAAAACAAAAATAATGACCACAGATGGTTTGCATAACTTCAAAATAGACAATGAAAGCATTGAAGTAGTTCAAGATTTCCCATACCTTGGCTCAGTCATTAAACAGAGTGGAGATGGTAGTCAAGAAACTAGATGGAGACTAGGACTTGGAAGGTAGTTATGAAGGAACTAGACAAGATCCTGAAGTGTCAAGATTTATCATTGCATACTAAAGTTGGGATTGCCCATGTCATTGTACTTCCAATTTCTAAGTATGGCTGTGAAAACTGGATAGTGAAGAAAGTGGGGAACAAACTAAAGGAAGAAAACAAACTAATTTGAAATGTGGTACTGGAAAAGAGTTCTATGAATACTGTGGACTACTAAAAAGACAAATAATGGGTCCTAGAACAAATCAAGCCCTATCTCTCCCTAGAAGCAAAGATAACTTAAACTGAGGCTGTTGTACTTTGGAAGAAGTGCAGGAGAAGACATGACTCACTAAAAAAGACAGTAATGATTGGTAAGGTAGAAGGCCACACGAAAAGAGGAAAACTGCATTCCAGGTGGATGGACTCAATCAGGGAAGTCACAGCCCTGAGTCTACAAGACCAGAGCAGAATCATGACTTGGACGTCTCTCATTCACGGGCTGCCATTTGTTGAAGTTGAGTCGAAGGCAGCTAACAATGACTTTAACTACTATAATTTATTACACCAAATTGCTGTCAAAGGAGTGGGGTCATTTCTGCCATTTTTGGATGCTCAGGCCCTTTCTTTAAAAAGTGAATAGAGAGACAGTTGCCACTCACTTCTTGTTGTAGAAAAGGCTTCTTCTCAGTCTAAAATGGCCCAAGGGGTCTAAAACAATGGTAAAATTGTACCCCCACACACCATAGGGGGCATTTGGAGGGGGGGGAAACCCAACATCTGATCTTTTCCCACCCCTTTTCTACTATCACAAGTTTTGTGTCTCTCAGTACCACTTGCTGGAGGACATGAATGGGAGAGGGCTATAGGATGTCTTGCTTTTGGGCTTCCCATAAACATTGGGTAGGCTGGTGTTGGAATACAATGTGGAAGAAAATGAACACTTTGATCCAATTCACCATAGTTCTTATATTTTATGTTTCTTTATAACACAAAGGAGAAGTTGTTTTCCTCAAAATCTGTTTTCTTCAAAATCTGTTGGTTCCAAATGATCTCTTGG